ACAGAAGCTGCAGACTGAAGCCAGCAGGCTGAGGGCCAGGAGCAGAGAGCAGCAGAGCCCTGGCAGCTGGCTCCACACTGTGGCAAACTCGGGTAGCGTGGCCCTGCTGCAGATTCTGCCTGAGATCCTCAGGGGCTGCTGCTGTCACTCTGTGATGTGGTGGCCACGCTGAGCTGCAGGCCTGAGCCTCCAGAGTGTGCAGTGGGACACCTGCACAGAACCTGGCACATCCCAGGGATCCCTCACCTGGATCACCTTCAGCTTTACTCACCCCACCTGCCTGTATACCATGAGAACCGGCTACAGTTTTGTCATATACATGGGACACAACCAGTTTTCACAACCACAAAAAAAGGCAAGGACAGGACTGCTCTGGTATCAAAACAGGACTGAAATTCTTGCCTTGGTAGCTTAAGTCACACTAAAGCCAAGAATATTGAATTGCTCTCTCCCATCTGCTCACAGACACCTGATGGTGGCTGGGGACAAGACCAAGAATGTAAATTCAACAGAACGCTGAGGAAGAGTCCCAGAAAGAAACAACTCTCTTGCACATCAGACCAACTCCCAGTGCATTATGCAGAATGACAGGATTCAAACCCAGCACTGACTGCAACCTTCATCAAACTCTAAAGCTACATGCACAGTCTCATTGACTAGAAACCCATGCATGATTTAACAGCAAACTGCTCCTAGGATTGATGTTTTGAATGAATTCAAAAATACTGAGATGCAAAGGAACAAAATGTCAGAACTGTGGTGCTACGTCCTTTAAAACCAACCAGTTGTGACTTCTTGACAATGTTTCTTGAGTAACAAATGACTTGACAAGAATATAAGCATTGCTGCTTACACCAGGAGCTGCTCAGTTAAAGTCTGAGTCAAGTTTTCACTTAAATCAGTATAAGCCAAGCCACTGATTTGGCAAGTGTTTGATCAGCTGCTACTTCCTTCCTTCCTTGGAAAAAAATCCCTCAGACCACACCATACAGTATTTGTTTTAAGAGAAAACCACTGCATATTCACTGCCATTAAAGAATGTAAAAAAAGCATTCTTTTATTTGTAAATTCTAGTTCTTAGACTCGTCACATGTCACGGGCACTGTGATGCACAGACCAGTGAGCAGTGCCTCGTGTAGCAGCCCACAATGTGTGTTTATATATCAGCTTCCAAGCCCTCATTTACAAACCAGATTAGGGAGCCTAAATACTGCCCTAGATCCTCTCTGGAGAGCAAGGCAGTTCCACCACAGTAAATGGAGCATTGCTGCACTCAGACAGGAAAATATTTGTTGATACACATCTTTGAGAATTAATAATGCTGTGTTCAACTCCCTACAGAGCTGGCTGAGAAATATCTGAATTTTTCCCAAAGACCGTGAAAGGAAAGTTGGCAACAAAAGTTCTCTGGATGCTGGGTTTCTTTGAAACTTCCTACATATTTGCATATTTAAAATTCCTTAAAAATAGATGGGATAGTTACAATTCATCAATGTTGCACTTCAATAAAAATTCTTTACAGCTTCAGTCTTAAATAGAAGCTATTCAAAAAGCTGAAAAATCTTCTTTTGATGTCAAAGCAGTTTTGAATCAGCATCATTCTGAAATCAGAACTAGGCAGCAGCTGAAGACTGAAGTCTGGAGGGAAGCAGCCAATACCAGAAAAATCTTGAGAGACTGCATTTCTGGTACTCCTTGAGAGCAAGTTTTGAAAGAGGCAATTTTTCTGCAGTACCTTGTGTGGGATTAGCTTGACCAAGGGCAGCTTCTAGCCAAAAGCCAGTCTTATTTTCCACTGTCCAGAAATACCTGTAGTGGTTTGCAACAGGTTTGACCAGAATATCATTTAGCTTTTCAGAATCTAAGGTCAAGGTAGAGTACCTGGGATTGTGTTTGCACCCCCAAGGGTTAAAGAGAACCATGGGTTTGACACAGGAGTGTTTACTGCATCTGTGTATTGCTAGAGACATGATACCACATTTCTGTGTCTGAAGTGATTTACCCAGGGAAGGGGGGCCCTTGTTCCACCAACAGTAACACTGACAGAGGCAGGCTGTACTTTCCTGGCCAGCCTGAGAATACAAAGGATGTCCACAGCAAAGTAGTAAGAAATTTATCAGAGAACAGACAGCAGAGTTAGTGTCTCCCCATTTGCAACATCTCCCGTCTGTTCTGCCAGTGTCTGTCTGCCACTTGATCAGAATATGCACTCTCTGCAACACTGCTATCAGATCACTCCCCTCCCTGCCCCAGTGAGACACCAAGTGATCCTTTATTACCAAATTACCTGCCTGTCATAAAACACAATGACTTCTTTTCTGGGATAAAAGGGTTCTCCAGGGCTTGAGCTGCAAGATGAGTTGCTCTAATATCTGTAGTTACTCAGTCTAAGAATGCAGTTGCTAATTAGTATTTTTAGTAATTAGTATTTTTAGAGGTGGATACCATAGAGGAAAATATATCTGCCAGTGAAATGCCTCTCCCACCTCCAACTCACATTATTTGTCAAACATAGTAAGTATCTGGATTTGATTTCCACAGTAACAGATGGCAGTACCACACCAAGGGCCCCACAGGAGCAGAAGGATACCTCCTTTACACAATAAAACACAGCTACAAACACCACCAACATGGTGGTAAGACATCTCTTCAAATGCAAACACTGGAGCAAGGAAGAGTTTCTAAATACTTACACATCTGGGTACAGAGCTGAACAAGAAGTCCTGCAAGATTTAAGAAATTTCCACTGCTGAGTACCCTTGGCTAGAGCGTTCCTTTTGGGATATCAGCCAGATTTGGTGACTACATGTCACTACTAGTGACTGTTCACCTCCTACATATAATTATCTGCACAAAAACTTGGCTCTCACTATAATAATGTCTTCTGTTCAAGTCCACAGGCTTTGCTTTCAGTGCAACAGTCCTCAACACTTCCACCCTAATGGGACTGGGCTTTAGATCACTGAAATTTTGAAGCCGAGTCCAGATTACCTAAAAATAATTAGGGGGAAACATTCAGTCACCAGCCTAAGCTGCAAGAGCTTCACTCTAACTGAAATGCTCTGCATGAGAGCAGCACAGCAGTGCAACACAGCTCCAGAAGCAGGGCTGCTGGGTCACCCAGCCCTGCTGCTCACAGCAGGTTTGCAACAGCCCCCTGACACTGTGCAAGAGTTCTCTGTGGCCTACAAAGAGTGAAGTCTCTGGCACTACCCACAAACAGCACCAGGCAGAGGGAAATGCCATCACCAAAGTGCAGGTGAGGAGTTCTGCAGGCAGAAAGGACCGAGCTGGCTGAACTGCTTCTCTCCCACCTTCTGGGCACCACATCCAGAAGAAGCAGCAGGTGGGAAAGGTGGATCTGTGGGGTTTCCATGGGGTTCCACCTACTTCTAAACAAACAGAAGCTGCTGCAGTGTTACATCTTACACCATTCCCAGGTGGCAAAGGAGTGGTCTTTAAATCCTTTCCTCCAGATTACCCCAGAGCCTCAGGAACCCAGCCCTGTGACATGACAGACTGAAGCAGACTGTTCCATTTCTCCCAGAGCACTGCAGACCTGTGTGCACTGGGGTGTTGTGTCTCAGTCATTCCTCTGGCTCCTCTCTTTCCATTACTTTACACCTGCCTATGCAGATACATAGAAACAAACTGTTTTTATTTTCTTGCCTTCAAGAAAGCCTGATTTCAGCACGTCCTCTGCTCCCCATCACTCCAGTAACACATCACTGAAGGCAAGAGCACAGAGATTGCAGAAAAAAATTATATATATTTACATTCCTAACTGAATACAGTTTTATGTATTCAAATTCAGGAAAAATGCATCACATATACACACCAAGATACATCAAGAGAATACTAGGGGCAAGACACTGCCAACAGCAAGAAATACACAGAAAAGCACAGTCATTGCTACTGTAACATTCTCCTGGGGAGTGTATTTAATAGAGGAAACATCTCTGTGCACTGGGGAAAGCCAAATACTCTGGCTGATTTTTCTGTGCCAGTTGGTGTGAATCAAAAGTGTGAAACTTTTACTTTAAAAAAAAAGTGCATGGAATAAAATTTGTTTTTAGCATTCAACTACCCAAACAATTCCATAAGCTCCTTATATAAGCTACATTATTAATTAAAAATGTCATAGCCCTACAGTATAGATCCAGCTCTAGAGAACACAGGCACATGTTGAAGTCATCCCTATTTAAGGCAGCATTTAAGCAAACACTCAACTTTAAAGCTTAATGTTCTGTCCCACTGACGTCCATGAGCAGATGCAGCACACACCTAAAGTTCAGCACCTGCACAACTGCTCATCTAAACTGGGATGTGCTCCCTACTCAGATATGCACGTGTGAGCTCAGTCTGGACTGGCAGCTCCTGCAAGATGAAGCTCTTTTCCTTTTGCCTGTCCTATAGGCAGAAGCCACTCTGCCCCAGACTGTCCTCCACTGCTGTGCCAGGAACCAGCCGCTCTCTGCACAGCCTGCCCAGAAAATGCCATTCCCAGAGGAGTGCAGCTGTCTGGGGTGGGAAAGCAACTCAGCACATCATGTGCAGGGCTGGTCCTCCTCCTCCCCCTAAGGTGAGATATTTCATGCAAATATTTTGTTGTTCTGTTTCTTTTTTTTTTTTTTTTGGTAAGAACTGGAATGTGTTCCTTCAGTGAAATCTTTAAAATCAGGGTGAGGGGAAGGGGCAGAATTCATTTTAATGGCCCATAATATACCCCCGAAAATAGGGGAACAGATTTGAAATCTCTTTGCCTCAATGCTACAGGGACCCTGACGTAAAAAACACACATGCACACACACTAGAGAGCAGGCTCAGAGCATCTGAAAGCAGGCTCCAAAGTGATCTTACATGAAAAACACTTTGTGCTGACAGTGGCAAACAAATGGATGGTGATTTTTCATAAATAGCAAAAATTCTGCAGTATCTTCCTTTCCTTCCCATTTACTTTGTGTACCCAAATTTTGTGGGTTTTTGTTGTGTTTTGGCGGTTTTTTTGTTTTCATTTTTTTTAATCTGATGTGTGGTTTAAGTACTAAAACTAAATCAAATAGGAAACTACAGTCAGCACCAGTCAGGAACTGAACCTGGGTATGTCAATTGGTTTGTGGTACCCAAATTCCTGGAAGAACAAAGAAAAAAATTCTTGCTCCTAAAGTTAGGGCCACATCCATATGTTTCCATTGTCTATTTTTACCTTTACAACTAGAGGTAGAGTCATTTTGTCCAGTATCTAAAACAACATGATCCAGTTATATTGTTATTACATTAATATACAGTATCCATCTCATCACAGGTATTGAAAGTGCATGGAAAAAGTCTAACCAAGCCAATTCAATGACAAATAACAGTGTACCAAACATCATAGAAACACACCCGCGCACCCACACTCACACCTAGTGTGTATTATATCATTTATAGGTTCATTTACAGTATCAGAGTGCTGCTGAGATCCAGTGGCATGTGCAGAAATATCAGGCAGTTGCTGCTTTTCCTTCTCATATTCTCTTCAATTCTTTATTTCCAAGATAGATGGATTGTGGTCCAGGATTGCCAAAATTATCTTGTCCATATACTGTCGCAATCTGTAATTTATCTCCTCCTGTTCTTTGAGGGCTTCCATGAGCTAAAACACAACATTTCCAAGTTACTCCTGAAATATTCTCAGTAGTTTATGTAACAGCCTGAAATTGAGACAGGTGAGAGACCAGTGCCTGCTCAAGATCACCAGTTCCTTTTGTGACAGGTTTTCTAACTCCAGCTCCGCCCTGTATCTGTACTAGAAACAATTCTGTATGCTACAGATCTTTGCTATCAAAGGAAGTGGTGAACAGTCATCTCAGGGATCTTCTGGCAGGTCATTTGAAACAAGTTCCCCATCTAACATGACAATCCATCCTGCATCCATACCATGGATCAACTGCTTCATCTCAGAGCAAGAGCTGCATGATACTCAATTTTTTCATTACTACTGAAATCTAAAGGTGTTTGCATGAAAGGCTGCTGAACTGAACAAATATTTCAGTGTTTTGCACCAGGAAAAATATGTGCTTCCTCTGGAATTCCTCTGGATTTTTTTGAGAGATGTGCATAGTTCTTCTCAAAAAAATCCCCAAAACAACCACTACATACTCCACAAGAACAATCCACTTGCTACTCAATGTTCTGTATTACATACATGTGTTTCACCAGATTTTTGGCTGTAAAAGGCCCCTCAACCTCTCTAAAGATGAAGACTGCTTTGCTTTTCATCTCTGAATGTTTAATGCCAAACTGAAAAAGCTGCCAAGGCATGTCAGAGCCCCAGAGCCTCCTAAAGCTCATGTTATTTGCCTGTCCATTTTCATAAGACTTCACAGAAGTCCCACCCTGAATCTGCAGATTGTCACCTTTGTTCTGCTCATACAGGAAAATGGCACAATGGGAACAGTTTGTGCAGGTCTGTGAGGCTTTGCTGAGTCTGGGCCACTGCTTTCAGGCCTTTCTTCCTTTAAAGGGGGAGTGCTAGATACTCCTCACATGAGCCAGAGCCACGAGATTGAAAGGGACAAAGTCAAATTTTTCTTGACAATAGCAAAAGCCAGTTTGCTTTTACCTAATTAGAGCTTTACAAGCAAACAGTCTTTCTTCACAGTGCTCTGGTTCAACAAGAAATTAAGTTCTCAAATACATAATTCAAGGGCCTTCACTTCAAGGGCCTGCCCAGGGGCTAAGGCTGACAGGTCAGTCCAGTGCAGACTGGGTAAAAAAGACTTTTCTGTCTCACAACTTTTCTTGATGAAGAAATGGGAAATTCTGTCTGGAAGAGATAGAGCATCAAGGACAAACAATTCCTTTAATCTCCTTCACCACTAACCTGTCCCTGGGAGCTCTCATGTATCCACTGGCCTGATCTCACAATCTGTCCTGGAGCTCAGAGGAAGCTACACCAGCTGAACTCAGCCCACATACAAAGGGGTTCCCCAGAATATCTTTCAAAGCATTACCAAGTTATTATTTGCACAGAAGTTACTTTCTCCAAGAATTCAGCTCTGCTACAGGGAATATATAGCTCAAATATATAAGTAAGAGCTTGTTAGTGAAGTAACATGAACTAAATCTAGAACAGAAAGTAAAAATTAAAGTAACTAGCAATGGCCATTTTTGTATGAAATTAATGTCATGCTCTCACAGTACTCTGCAAGATACAAAATGTTAGAACTGCAAAACAGTTCATTGAGATCCTAATAATTCAATTTTTTTTGAGAGAAAAATGGGAGAATTATAATATAAGGATACCAAAACAGTGTTAGATTTAAGGCAATCTTCTAACACCCTTGAACTCCTAGCAAAGCAGAATTTTCTGTCGTTCATTTGTCAGCTTCAGAGAGTTCAACCTTGACAGTTAATTACATTGAAAATTGCTTATTCTTGGATGTAGTACCTGATTAGAAAAGCACATTACCTCATCTCTCGATGCAGAATCAATTTCAGCAGCCAGTGACTGGGCCTTGGTTTGTGTTGCAAAGAGGTTTTTAGCTTCATAAAGACTGAGGCTTAGAATCTGTCCATTCAGATCATCATTTTGGTCACGAAGTTTCTGATTCTCCTATTTAAGGATGAAAAGACATTGTTTTTTAAGTTCTTCTTACAAGGTTTCATTAAAAAATTATTTTAACATCACAGGTAGCTTGGATGACATACAGTGAGGCTGCAGCTGACAGCAACTCCTACCTCCAGCGACAAGGCCTCCCTGCCTGAGTTTTCCTGGGGCATAATTTACATCACCAGTGCAAGAAGTCCTGCACAGATGCAACGAGGGTCTTTGTGCTTGTGTGAGAAAGGAGGGGACAAAATCTGAAGGCAGAGTGTTTGGGCTTGTATTTTTCAAGGCATTCCTGTACATTTGATGTGGATTGAGAGGCCCTTCCCTGCTCACCTGCTTCAGCCGTTTTATTTCATGCTCCATTTCCACCTCTCTGGTTTTGGCATTGAATTCACTCAGGCTGGAGGAAGAGCTTCTGCCACGTCCAGGACGTTCACATTCCAGCTTGTACAGCTGCAGGTGCTCCAGCTCCTTCCGCAGGTCTTCGATGAGCTGTGGGCAGCAAACAGGCCCTGTCTGTGCAGCCCTCCCTGCAAACAGCCCCCTCTGTGCTCCAGCAAAAGCACTCCTGAGCCTGGCTGAGGCCAGTCCTACAATACAGCCTCTTCCTCTTCCTTTGCAAGCACAGGCCCCCTTAAAGGCCCCAGAGCTGGCATTGGCTGTGATTCCTAAGCTTCATGCATAATTTCCCTTGCAAACACAAGGAAATGTTAGGGCACACAGTTCTCCAAGAGCTGTAAGCCCTTTGGCTCAGGGATTGGCACTTCTTAAGTATTCTTGCAGCATTCATTGCTCTGCGGGCACCTTTCCCACAGAAACACACTCCAGCAATAGCTTCACTGGATATGGTGCTCTCAGTGCTCATCCTGCCCATTCTCTCTCCCTAGGGCTTCCATGCAGGTGATATGAGACTGCCTGGTCTGACATCCCTCTTCACACTTACCTCCTGTGTGGCTTCCCTCTCCTTGTTGAATTCCAGCCTGTTCTGCCTCAGCTTGTCCATCATCCTCTTGTACAAATCCATCTCATCCTTCAGCCGCAGACTCGTGTCCTCCAGCCTGTCTGACATGCGCTGCCTCTCCTGGAACCAACAGGGAACTTCAGAACAGGGGGCAAGAGCAGGACACAGCTCGGCTTCACAACAGGAACCTACAGACACAGCTGGCCATAAACTGCCTTGTGTCTCAGGACATTCCTGCCCCTAAAGGTGACCAATGTTCCAATTCCATCAATAATCTGGTTTATGGGAGGGAAATTTAAGAAGCTGGGCCAAGCACTGTAAGAGTTGGCTCTTACATAAACTGCTGTTAAGTTGCTCAAGGACTCAGGAGTTTTGTTACCTCATCCAATCTCTCTGTTTGGGATTTCAGCCGTGTGACAGTGCTTTTCAGATCACCATTTTCTTCTTCCAGTTGCTGAACCCTGCGTTAATAAAAAAAGTCTTACAGCAAATACCTCTTTTCAAGAACACAGACATGCACAATAGTGTGCTCTAAAAAGCCATCTCACTTGAACTTGATAGAAAGACCAAATAGGGAAAATCTTTCTAACCATAGCACTTTTTAACATGCATTTTTGCTTGTTCAGTTCTAAGGCCCAAAATGCTACCCTGACCCTCAGGTTCTTGTGCTCCTAACAACAGGTAGCTGAAAAAACATAAGTTGGAAAAAAACAAAACGCAGGCACAAACATTTGCTAGAACTGGTCACAATTCCCTCCTTGAATGTGTGCCAAAGATCCAGTTAAGCTGTCTACATGGGCCACGAGGATTAAAGCATTAATGTAAAGCATCCTCCAAGCTTTTGGGCATTAGACATGTGACTGCAGAGCTACTCTACAGAGCTGCCAACCTGCCACCATCTGTGCACTGTTGCTGGTGAACAGCCTACATTTACAAGCAAAGTAAAAACGAAGAAAAGAGGCCCTTTCTCCCTGTTCAAGGCAGCACCAAGATGTTTGTTACCTTGTATTTAGCAGTTCAATTTCAGTGCCTTTCTCTTTTTCATACTTGCTGTAAGCTTCTCTGTGTCTCTTTATCTCTTCTTCCAGAGTCTGTTCTGCTGATGTTTCTTGGTCTTTCAATAATTCCTCTAGCTCATGAACTCTAAGGAAATCAGATCTCATTTCAGTAACAGCTTCAGAAGCAAATTCATTGCCTCTCTCTTTTCTGCCTACTCCTTTGTTTCATTCTAATTCACCATCTATTTTGGCATTTAACATCTCCCAGTATCTCTATTTACTAATAAACACAGAATCAGTTCATCTAGTATTTTTTCAGTCTCATGAAGCTGGGACTAAGACCCAGCCTCCTGTTCTTGCTACAAGCAAGGAAAAAACCCCAACCACCAGGGGTAACCTCTCTTACAGCAGAAGCATTTTCTCTGTACAAGTCAGTAACATCTCTGTCAAGAACACTTGCCTGCAGGCCTCTTCTTGCTGAAAATTCAGCAAGGCAGCCCCTATTCCAGATGAAGCCTTATTTCATCTGTCAGCATGAAGGAAGAAGACTTGGTCATACTCTAGAGGTAGAAATATTCCTTCCCCACAGCTGAGGTGGTGAGGAGACCTGGCTCTGTGCATGGTTACCTGTGAACCAGCTGGGTGTTCTCTTGTTTCAGTTTGCTCTTCAGGTCACCATTTGTCAGGCTATCGTTCTCCAGTTCTGTCACCTTCTTCTCTAGGTAGGTGACCTGGAAGGACAAGCAAAACAGACTGAGTTTGAATCTCTCTTCAAACACTCCCTCACTGTTCTAACTGGCATTTAGCTACTCTACCATTTTAAAAGGGGGCATATTTCTCTGCAAAGCCAGCAACAAAATTAAGCCCCACAATTCTGAGTTCTCCAGACCCTGCATGTTCCTTGAGGGTGATCACTGCAAATACACCATAAAGAAGTCCTAACACAATGCCTAGAGCTGTGCTTGCTCAGTTCTTGCATTAAGCCTGAAAAGTTGTAATAGTAATGGAACATCAAGGACATTTTGAAATAAACTACTTCAGATCATGGGTAATTCTGAGCAAGATCTTGATCCCCTGATGCTGGGCTCCAGCAGGATTTGGCTGGGTACATTACTCACAGGGCACAGATTCTCACCTTTTCAGTGATATCATTATCACAGGAGTCTATACTGTCTCTGAACAAGTCTTCTGTGCTGCCATTACTGCTGCTGAAGTTACTGTTGTGGAAGAGTTGTCTGAAAGATCAGAAGGATCATTACTTTGCTTGATGAGGAGGGAGGACAAAGAGTCTGGCTTCAGACTTTGAACATCCATGGTAAAATCTGTGCAATCATTTCAGTTACAATTACAACTGCTTAAGCCCAAGCCTTACAAGAGACTGGTAGCTAAATGAAGTCACACTGAGCACATTCAATGACATTAGTTCTATGGAGTGAGTTCTTTGTTGCTTTTGATAGGATCTGCCACTAGCATTAACATAGTTTTAAAAATACTTAAGTCTTATTCATACTATGCACTGAATTGTATTTGCCTTATTACAAATTTAAAATAAGGTCACCACTGCACATTGGTTGGTACAGTTAAGCTAGAAAATTTCATACTGTAAGAACTTAAAAAAAAAACCAGAAAAAAAAGAAATATCAAGCAGTTCCCACTGCAGAATAGTGTCAGAACATGTAACACTGGAGATTATCTAAAATGTCCTTGAACCTTACAGCCCTCCTCAGACCAGGGCTGGTTCACTCAGTCAAAGGAAGATGACAATTCTGTATGTCCTTTTTAAAGGGGTGCTCTTGCTTTCCTTCACATTTTGGCAACAGCAGCAAGGCTCACATTATGAAGGTTAAATAAGCAGTAGCTGGACTGATAAAATAGCAGTACAAAGGAATACATTTGGCAGACAAGGAAGCAAAAACTATATTTTTAACAGAGCTGTTTCCAGTTCAGGGGCCTGCTCCAAGAGGAACAGGGGCAACATTCATACCCAAACACAGGCCCCTTCCCTTAAAAACCTATTTTGGTACATTTTTATTTTTCTAAAATTATTCCTACTTCTGTCTTCCACTCCCACTTATGGAATTGTTATGGCTGATTCCATAAATATTCATACAAAACTTGAAGACTCTTACCTTCCAAAAGCTGTGCTTGATATTTTCCTGTTAGGGCTACATGGATACAGAAAGAATGATATAGAAATTAAACAGTTATTTGCTTCAATTTCAATTGCACAATGAAATATAATTGACATTTTTAGCCTACTCAAAAGATGATTCTGTGAACAATATTCTTTAACAACTGAATCAAAAGCTGCAATTACTAAGAACACAAAGATGAGTGAAGCCACAAATTACTGTGATCATTAATAAGTCAATTTGCAGATACTGTTACATGTAGCAGAGATTTGTCAGTGTAAATCAGAGCAAAACTAACATTAGAAACACCACAAAGGGACGCCAAGTTAGTGATGGACATTTATTCTGGATTTCCAGTTTTTAGATGATTTTATGAACCGTTAGTTTATCCTTCCCCATAATGCTTCCCAGTTCAGCACAGGAACTGAAGTCTTTCCATTGTTACAGTTCCCTTGTGCAGCCAGAGACTGGTGCTATCTAAATGAAGACCCTTTGCTGCAGACAGCACTGGAACCAGATCAAAAATATCCTGCTGCATGTCTTGGTAAGAGAATGTCACATCTCTGTGTGCACAGACACAGATCTTGGTCAGGCATATCCAGCCTCCCCCAGAAAATCCCCTAAGCCCTGGCTGCTCGTGGTCTGGATGTTGGCAGAGCCTTGCCAGGGCAGGAACATTGTTCGTGGCAGGTTCCACGCTGCAGTGCACAGGGAGGAGCAGCAGGGCAGCGCTGCGTCCCAGGGATTACACTGACAGGCAGGACTCACATCCAGTTCTAGGGGGAGCTAAAATCCCACCAAACAATTCCCTTCAAAAACTCTAGGTGATTGTTAGAAGCACTTTTTAAGTGCTCAGCACAGCTTAGGAGTGATCGAGTGGCAGAGAGAGAAACATAAGGAAAAGGCTGAAATTGCAAAGAACTCCAAAAGTAACTTCTGCCACAGGATTTATCATTTTTTCAAGTATTGTTGACATCATTAAAAAATCCTAGAGAAGCCAAGTACCTCTGCTGACCAGTAGCTTTAGGAGAGGTGTATGTAAGGTTATGTGCATTAGCCAAGGATCTGGAGATCCCTCCTTCCCACCTGGATAAAGCAGGAGCTAACTGTAGATCTGCACTAGGCAGCACAGCACATCCCACTTCCTGGGAAAAATTCCTTGAAATATCACTCTCACTCTGCAATCAAAGAGCTCATTGGTTAAAATATTTGAGTTTAGCAATGATGTCTGCACCTTAAATCATAAAAAATATTTAAGAGCTGATGAAGAACAGCATTTTGGTTTGGGCTACATATCCAAGTCTAAATTTCTTACTGTTTTGTAAGAACAACACATGTGTAAGAAGGAATGGGATACAGAAGGGAGAGGCTTGCTCTCCCTCTCCTCCTGCTATTAGCCAGTCCCATGTCAAGGGGGCATTGCCAAAAGCAGTGCAATAGGCTGCTTACCTGTTTGCTTTCAAGTTTTTCAGCCTGGCTTCCAAATCGTTGAGGAGATTTATCTTTTTGCAGCACTGTGAGCAGTAAACATCCAGTAACTCGCTGTTATAAACATGCCTCATTTTTCGGGGGGTTTGGCCAGCACTGTTTGCAGGAAAGGAGAGATGTTACTGGCTGTAGTAAGCAACCCACAACAGGTTTTCCTCGTGACTGTGTGTCAGAATCACAGATGAGGGACTTGAAGAACCATCTCTAACCATAGCTCATCTATGTCAGAGCTGATGATGGCCTGTGCTACTCTTAGGGCAAGTCCACCTGTCTGGGCTGAGGCCTTCCAGAGGATGTGGGTATTTCTGGGTGGCAGTGGAAAGAATCAGTTTGGGTGACCAAAAGAACAGCAAAAGGTACATGTGGTCCACTGTGATGCACATAGCAAAGGCAGCTACATGAGTATATTCAACCTCAGCAATGTCCCCCTATCATCTTGCCCATCTTCCCACTAGAGCCTGGCATGCAACCTGAAGAGACTTCTCTCCAAGAGAAAGGCAGGAATATGAAGAAGAGAGTGGTCTGGTAGGAAGTCACATGAACCCCTCAGATGGTAGGATGACAGGAACCCTGGAATGAGGAGGAAGGGAGAAGTGGACCCAGGTCGATAGAGGAGATAACAGTACCTCTTGGCATGATAAAGAGAAAATAAACTCAAATAAAAGACAGCAATCATGGCATGATGTGCACTGAGCCCTAGGAATGAGAATGGAAAGTGCTGCATAAACCTGAGGAAAGAGGGGATGGAAGACACGAGCCATCACCATGAAGGGGCAGTGGGGAGGGGTCTGGCTCTGCATGCATGAGAGACGTGGCCAGGCAGGATTGCAGAAATGCTGCAAACACAGGGAGCACGGGGGGGCTGCATGCAGAACAGAAGCATGCAGTGAGCTTGTCCTGTGTCAGCAATGAAGACAAGACCTCTGTGTGCTATTGATCCAAGCAGACAAATCCTAGAGAATCTTCCTGCTCAGCTCTTCCCAACCCTGCTCACCCATTCCTTGCCTGGGGGAAGGACTGTACAGTCTGGACCTGCCTTGGCCACAAGAGGTAAGAGCTGCAGAGACCGAGGATACATGCAGGAGGCAAGGGCACTGCTGTGGATTTGTAGCTCCTAACAGACAGCAGCTCCTTGCTTATGTTTCCCAAGACATTCCAAGTCAGTAGGATGCTTGTTTCAAATAACCCCCTGAACATATTGCAGCAGTTCCCCTCACAGATTAGTGCTAAGGATTTGTAGTATCAGAATGCTAAACAGAAAGAGCTCTCTTGTAAGTCCTCACTATACCAGGGTGGGTACATAATGTGAAGTTGGTTTCCTTTGCAACAAATCCCTTCCAGTACTAGCCCTGAACTGTGGAATTGTTGTCTGCAATAGAAAGAAATCTCAGCAAGCAAAATAGCCCAGTTATTTCAACAGAACCCAACAGAGGTTATCAGAAACAACATATTTGCTATAGCTTTTATTATTACATGCAGTCTGTCAATTAAAAGGCAGGAAATGAACTCATAATATTCTGCTTTTAAGGTGAGTCTACCTAACCAGTGTAAACTCTGCTATGGTCAGAGAAGAATAAAAATGAAAAATTGTTTTTTAATGAATAAGGAGCAACCTGGAAGAGACAGATGAGCCAAGGTCAGAGTAGGCGTTGGTTCTGGTCTCATCATCAGGACATGGGCTACTGGGAGTAAAATCCACATCATCTCCTTCCCCATAGTCTTCAAACTGCTCTTCATTACTGATCAGGGAGGCGGTGGAATAAGTGGAGAGGTCAGATGCTGCAGAAGGGTTGTGAGGACTTGACCTGAAACAAGAGGTCAAAACATCTCGAAGGCCGACTTTGATAGCACCTCACCTCACATGGAACCTCCACCTTCACAGGCTGTCCCCTCTTTGAGGCTGTAACCCACCTTTGTGCTAAAGCCCTGAAGTGCTCAATGTACCTGATGTGCAGCTGACAGAGTGCCTTGAGAGACAAGAGCATGAGAATCTATGAACAAGGTCCCTGTGTGACAAGTTTGGATCAACACAAACCATTTTGCTTTAAAGAGCACACTTTGATGATCCTCAGCCACCATTTCCATGTGAAGACCACATGGGGATTTCTGCTCTGAATGCAGGAACCATGCAGACAGCTCTGAAATGCATGGGATAGTGAGAGGAACATGTATAAAACAGAGGCTGTCACTCTATTCCACAGAGAGTTTCCCAGTAATCCAGACACACCCTCTCCCACACCCCAGGAAATCCAGCCACTCTCCTCTGTGTGGTCAGAAAGAAACCTGTGCTCACCCCTTACCAGAGTCACTAAAGCTCCTGATGTGATTAATGGAGGTTGGGTTCCTCCCCTCCTTCCATCAGGACAAATTCTGTCTTGCAGAGATATATGGACCACAAGAAAAGGCTGTCTAACTACCAGAAAAGTAGCTAAAATTATGTTAAATGGGTAGGGAGTGCAGGACCCTGTGACTTCAGAGAAAGAGAGCACAGAGGTAAACAGATCAGCAGAGTCAGGCACCACAGGAAAGCAGCTGGCAGAGCAGTTTTGAGCACATCAAAGCTAATAAAACAGAGCAAGGTGGCTGCAGAGGGTGCACAGGGTTCACCTGCCCAGACTCCAGACTGCCCTGTGCAGTGCACCTGCAGAGTGCAGGTGTTTTACACAGGTTCACTCAGCTCCCACCTTGGTGAGGCAGTCAAACAGACAAGGCAGTAAATTCACAAAAAAGTTCTTAAAAACAAACTTCTCCCTACAGAAAATACATCTGGAAGACCTGAAATAGATGCTTCAATTGTGAGGCCCTGGCACTGCCCAGCTGTTCCCTCTCCAGCAGAATCCAAGGCCTCTGCAGTACAGACCAAGTACCAATGGAATTTGTTGGCACTTTATGCAGATCAGGTTAAGATTTCCTCTCCCTCTGCTTCAGTGCACAGTGCTTGTATCTCCAGCTCCACCAGCTGAGCCATGGGACAGCAATTCCCAGCTGACATTATTCTCCAGCAGCTCAGCAATATTTCCTCCAAAATTTCTTCTGAGTCTACCTTGAGCCTCTCAGTCTCTCTACAGGGAGAGTCCTCTTCCTGTAATACTCCACTTGTGAGCTGTAAACAAGAGATGCACCAGTGTTCCTTGGTGGATGCTGCAAGCACCATTTGCATATCCCTTCCCTCCAAAAGCAATTAGTAGAAGAGAAAGCCTGCCAACATTTCAGATGTACGCTCTTTTGTTTCTCCTGTTTTGATGAGATCCATTTATAACCTGCAACTCATTTATCTAACTCACATTAACAGAAATTAGGGCAAGTGAAGCCAGGCCCACTACTGAAGGATAAAGACAGGAATACTCATACAAGAAATAGATGGAACTTATCTAACAAGGCTCCTTGGCTGAGGGATTAGTGAGAAGCTCAACATATCACACTAACATGTATTCATAAAGTGTGCCACAAACATACTGTGTATTGGTAAGTTTTTGGGAGATCCTACAATCCTACTGCTGCTTGCATCTCAACTGCTGTTACACCAAGTGAGTTTGGGAAGAAGCTCCTTGTAACACTTCCACCGAGATCAGAGGCCTAGGAATCACAGAGTCATTTGCAAAGGAGCTGGCTAAAAGTGACAGATTTTCCTCATTCTAACACTTTCTGAAGGGAACTTTCAAGTGTTTTGTGCTTTTTTGGTTTGTTTTCAAAGGTAATCTCCTGCTCTTCAGAGCAAGATTTCAGAGGCCTGATACACCTGATAACAACCCACCTGCTCCTTCAGCAAGCAGCAAAGTAAATCTCTCTGTTGCCCAAAGTAAATAGCTCTATTGCCTCTTTTAACACAAAAGCATGAAGCTTCTCATGCTTTTTTCTCCCCAACAGATTTACCAAAGCTGAGGAGGTCTCAGAGGATAAATCAAGGTCTATCAGAGCACAACAGCTCTTGGTAGCTCCTGCCTGGCCTAGAAGGAGGGTACAGGAGGCACAATGCCTGGCCCACCCCCTTCACAAGAGCCTGACTGGCACAGCTGGGAAGAAAAACATTTCAAACACAGCATGGGAAAAAGCCAGTCACCACAAGGATGGGGCTTTGGAGAACTGGGAATGGCAAGCAGAGGAGACAAGCTTGATAAAGAGCTGATGGAAACTGTAATTATCTTGATAAAGTCTCTGAGGTTGCTTGGGCAGATGGGAGAAGGCCAAAACTCAGCTAGCTGAGAAATTCAGGAGGAGGGCAGCAATGAGGCAGCACAGGGAGCACCCGAGGAGGCCCAGGAGAGAGAAGAAAGGCTGCCTTAGCAACGAACAAAGCTCAAGAGGCACAAATCAAGATGACAGGCCAAAAATAGGGAACACAAGGCAGAGGCTTACAAAGCAAGCCCAGCTGAGCTCTGTCTGGTAGTGACTGCATTAATTCAGTTCAAAGCCCCACAATCATCTTCAACCAGCACTCCCAGGTGCACACCTGGGAAGAGTCAAGTTAGGGTTACAGAGACACTGGTGTTAACAGCAAACTATGGCTACACACACACATGCCAGGACACCCCGTGTTAAACACAATTTACTGTTGCACAAGAAAGGTTATGGAAAATTAGAAACACAAAGAATTAACTCGCTACACGAAATTGCAAAGCAAATCAGCAGAGCCCACAACACCAGGCACATAACTAGATGTACAAAAGACTGCAGCAGTATTCCCCATACTGAACTGCTTTGCAGGAAGAAGTATTGTTTTAACTCCAGCATATAAAGCTTATGGCAGCAGAGAAGAATCTATGTTTTGGGGGATGTTATTGCAGTGATCTGTTCTGGAGAGACCCAATGCTTTCACTTCAACACACAACATGCAAGTCCTGTGAGCGCTAACAGAACGTGCCAGAAGGAGCCAGGACTGAGACTAAGCCACTTAGAGGACCTGGACCTCCATCCCCCTTATGTTGTAAACGGATGTTAAGTTTGTAAATCCATCAGCCATCCTCGGCCTCCCCCAGGAGGGATTAGCCACACGAAGGCTCCTTGCTCCCTGGCACCACTCACTTGTCCCCGGGCAGGAAGAGGCCCCCGAGCACGCTGTCCTTGTCCTCGCTGCGACACACGTCCGAGGCCTCGGAGCTCTGGGCGCTCTCGATGGCGCTGTCCATGTCAGACTCATGGTGCACCTCCTGCTGCGCCAGGGTCATCCCCTCCTCATCAGCAAACAGCTCCGGCTCGCTGGACGTGCTCTCGCTGTCCAGGTAGGCACAGTCCTGGATTTCAGTGCCCTGGCACAAGGAAAATGGGGAGTCAGTGCAGATCAACCCTGAAGGCAGTGCAGCAGACACAGGAGAAGCAACAAGGCACTCTCTGATGCCCTGGTAGGCAAGAGCGACACTGAATAAAAGCCATGACACAAAAAGCTGACCTGCTTTACAAAGCCAGCTCCTGCAAGCCAATAAAGTAGCCTGTACCTTCCAGAGGGGCTCATATACTGCCTCTGATTTCACAGGAGAGAAGGACACAACACCCAGTCAATTTTACCCTAATTCACTACATTAAATAATATGTAATAAAATGTACTTGAAGTAATAAATATCCTCAAAGTTTTATAACAAAGTTAGGCATCCTTTGAGAGATGGTAATATATTAGTCACCAAGAGTTAATATAACAGATTAAACAAAAGCAAATCAGATAAGCCCAACAGTTTACCCTGTCTTTGAGGATGGACAAAAATTTGTAAGATGAAAAAAGAATTGGCAGGCATTAAATTGTTTACGGTAAGTCTGGTGATAATCAAAATATATGAGAGCAGGAAAAAGAAGGCAAAATCATCTCATCCTGCTTCCTGGAGCCACATGTCTTGATTAAGCATCAACTAAAATAAGACATCATTCTCATTACTGCAGCTCCTTGCCCTCTCCCTCCCCTTCCTGCCCCACAAATACTAAGAATAGCCGAGACAAGCTGGGTTCTATTGCTTGTCCCTGAGGCACAAATAAAAATTCTTAATTGAAAAAATAAAGGCTAAGATTTTACTCTATCCTTTGATAAGCAGCCACACAATGCAGCTTTGACACAAATAACTCAGAGCTGCAGAGCAAGTCCTGACTCAGAGCTCTACTCCAAAGCTCCTCTGGAAGCTCCACAGGCAGCCTGACCATTGAGCTACTGCTAGCAAGGGAAGCTTTTAGAGCTGAGTTCATTGGCACAAGGAATGGAGCATTTCATTCATGGATGTACCTCGTGTTTAGGCACAACTCTCCTCCCACCCAGGAATCCCAAGGCACTGGAACCACCACCAGCACCCCTGCCCTGCTGGTGAGCACGTTTGACACTGGCCCAGTGGCACCACTCAGCTCCAAGCCCACCCCCTCAGCCTCTGGACACTCTTCTGCTGCAGCCAAGGAGGCTCAAATCCACTTTTGCAGAACAGTGATGCTCTGTGCTGATGACACCAATTGTCTTTTCTACTTCAATAGGAAAAGAGTCAGGCAGCAGCTGCAGCTTTTCAAGATTTGCAGAAACTGTTAGAAATGCAGGTCTCACCGTCCACCTTTTTCCTGAAATACCAATTTAGATAACTCTGAAATCCCCTAGCATATGGAGGCTGAAGAAATTCCAAACAACCCCACCTGCTCAAATCTCATTAACTCATGAATACCCCAGCAGGGAAAAGGACAGCACTGCCTGCTGTGTTTGAAACTCCAGGTACACTCTCAGAGCCGACACCTGGATGCTTTTCTAGCTGAGCTTTCAACAAGCCTTCCAGACTAACAAGCAATGTCAGTGAAACACCTGGCACTATTCAAAAAGCCTTCTCCCACTTTTCTGTGTCAGCTTTATTGTGCCTGAAACTTTCCTGAGGTATTGCTTCAAGAGGTGTCCCAAAGGATTTATCCTGGTCTATACCACACAGTACTCATTGAAGCCACACTCCTCGTGCAATCAGATTTACAGCTCTGAGCCCCAGCCCCTCATCCCCAGCCAGTCTGGGTCTGCCAGGTCAGACACCAGCCCTGGAACCTGCCCTGCCTTAGCCCCGGGTTCTCCAGCACACCTGACCTGCACCCTCCCAAAGCCAGCAGGGACAACGCCACTGCTTTGCAAATTACCTTGGGAGCTCCAAACAGCACAAGCACTAAGTCCTTTTAGTAGGTGTTGGAAAAGCAAAGATTGCAAAGAGCAATTACAATGTTTCAGAAGTACCCAGAAGTGTTTATTTATCTAACATTTTCCCAAAGTTTCCTCCCCCACACCGAGCACCACAGGCACAGACATTATTTTCTTAGCAAGTTTAATGCAATAAAGCCTGACTGCAATTATGGAATTGCACCAGCTGTTAAAAGTCTGATCCAGGAGGGAAAGAGAGGGGCAAGCAGTACACAGTGGATCCCTGAAGCTCCCAATAAGCATGTCATTTTCAGAGATCTTGGAGAAGTCTCTGCTTAAGCAAGTTTTTACAGCAGGAAAATCTCCCTGGTATTAAACAAATTAACACAAGAAAGTAAAGGTCAAGAAGATCACAAAGACTCCCTTTCTGCTCCCTGTAGGTAACACCACACATTTGCTTGTTCTAATAATAGCAGCTGAGGTGCTCTCTGAAGAGTCCATTAGCAATTAAATGTGCAGCATCATCTCTATGGGCTGAGGGCTCACTTCTCCTCTCTGTCCCATTCTGGCAACCTTCACAGCTTTACCTGTATGGGAGAGCTGATCTACACCTACAGCACACACTCACTGTCCCCAGCCTGCTCAGTGCCAGGGATTCTTTTCCAAAGTGTAATTCCTCTATTCCTGCACTTTAAAGCCTTCTGGGAAAGGAAAACAAAATCATATATATGTATGTATATGTATATATATATAAGAGGTAAAAAAAGGAAGAATAAAAGAAATGAGGCTTTGGAGGAGGTGATGGTCCATCATAAGCCTCCACACCTGATTTACAGCCTCTGAAATGCCTCACTGCCAGACATGGAACCCCTTCTGGAAGCAGGTCCTCCCTTCTGCTGATCCCACCCTCGAGCAGGGGGAGCTCAGGGACTGATGGGGACTGGATAAATGGAGAACAGGGCCCAGCCCAGCTCCTTGGAGGAGCTCCCCCTCAGCTGCTCCTCCTCAGAGGGAGAGTGGATGCCACATCCCAGGTTGCCACAGCCCCTCTCCACACACCTGGCCCGACCCCACTGCCCGATGCAAACGACGTGGATGTTCAGGAAGCACATCTCAGCTGCCCCCTGAGCACCTGGCAGCAAAATCACTCACTGAAGGACCTCAGCCCTTCCAAAGCCAGCAGCACCACGAATGACCCTGCCAGGAGCAGGGCTCAGCTCCAGGAACTGTCAGTTCTCGCTTTTAGGTGCTCAAGGTGCACCTCCAATGGGTGCTATCACAATTCCAGGCAATGCACAGCAGCCAGGATCAGCCCACCGTGCTCCAGTCTGCTCCCTGTGGGCAGAACCACAGGCTGTACCACTGAGCTTTGAGAGCTCAGGGGTGTGGAATCCCTGCCCCCTGGAAATACAACATTCCTGGCACATGGGGACCCCTCATGCAGATCCTGTAAAGCACAGAAACAGGTAACACCACTGTGGTGTCCCTTCAGCTCCCTGGGTGAAACCAGCCTCCAGTGCAACTGTCACAGTCACACGTTGAATGAAAACTTTTCCTTCTGTGGCATAAATAACCAGCAGGAGAACACAGACAAAGCATCTTTAAAACAACTTACACAGGTTTCAGTAAGCTATTACAAGACAACAGAATCAGGCCATGTTGCTGGTAAACAATATGCAGGCATCCACACCTTACTGAGTAAAGCTGTAAGTTATTTGAAGCTGTAATTGTTCAGTGATCATGGTTTCTCACAGAACTATACTTCCAATGATGACATCCAGCACAAGCTGCTAACAAACCACACCTAAGGAAATTAAAGTGAAAAAAAAAGGCTGATTGCACACATTAGCCTCTCAAATTATTCCTTCATAGTTTAGATATCTACAGTATTTCATGTACCAAATTAGAGGATGGCACGAGCAAGTGTTATTCAGGTAGCCTCAAGAGAGCTAACTTGAGATTAAGGGGAGTTTAAGAAGTTTAAAGATGAATAGACACTTCTAGCCTGAGTCATTTGTTTCCAGTGCACATGTCATTAGCAGAAACCAGCCAAGAGAATGAGGTTCCGACGACTTGAATATGAATCACCGGCTTTGTCATTCTCCTAGGCAGCTCCCTTCTTTGTTGGCTGAGTCAAAAGAGATAAAGCTGCTGCTTATGATCTTGGAAGATTCTCATAAAAAGAAAACCCAACCCCGAAAGTTAAAACACCACCAAGACAACATAGCTGCGGGTACCTTTAAAGCCCTAAGTGGTTTGCACTTTATCCAATCGGATGCTCAAGATAAGTCCAAGTGCTTCACAGGCAGCCGGCCAGACGCTTGTATGGCAACTGTTGAATATTCAGCAACAGTTTGCTCTATAGGAGCACCTGCTGCCCACAGATCCCAGGCCACTTCACAGAAACTAATGAATTCCCTTCCTCGAAAGAGGCTTTGTGTGGCTGCATTGAAGGCAGATGAGTAAGCCCTGCCTGCCTTTGCAACAGCCACCCCAAACAGAAGCGGGAGCCAGGAGACAGCGATTCCCATGGATTCCTTCTGATCCTCGTGGGGCAGGAAAGCAGTGTCAGCATTAGGTGGGTATGGGAATACAGCTCTGCCTTGCCCTGCAGTGACCTGACTGGGCTTTCCCAGGTTGGAAGCAATCTCCAAAATAGGCATACAAAGCAGCTGAAAGCTAGAAACTTGGCTGACAGGCTACATGACATGCCTACATCAATACATTCATGCTGAAGAGCAAGCCTCGTTAAAATTCACTCCCATCACAGCCAAATCACCAGCACTCCTGACATTTAGACAGCCTCACAGTATGCCAGAGGAGACAGGGAAGAAAAGAGGATCCAAGTATCCCACCACTCTGCAATCTGATTAGGAAGAGCTGGACCCATCACACACAACCAGAAACAAGAAATGCCACATGCAGATGAGCCATGGCCCTCCCTCACCAGGATCATGCCTCTGACAAGCTGAATCTGCTGTGGGATACAAGCCTGAGCCCCTGCACCTTCCCCAGCCACCTTCTTCCCAACAAAAGCACAGGAAAAGTCACCTCACCACAACTGGAAGAGGTGCCATGTGGAGGTGTGCCAGGCTTGGTCTCAGATGAAAGTTACTTACTGTTGCACTCCATCATAAGAGAAAATTCAGGCTCTCTCATCTTTATTTAAGCAGC